GATTTTCTGTTATATATATATATATATATATATATATATATATATATATAAAGCAAACTATATATATATAAAATTGGGCAGTTGAATCTCATTGTGGTAAGTATTAATAAATTGTGATGATATTAATAATCAGCTTTGTGTACTTTTTTAAATCGTTGTGTCTTAATGTACTACTAAAATAAGATCCAGCCTATCACTGGATGGTTAAGAGCCACACAATGTACATTATGCAACAAAGCACTGAAACTCTGAGACAGCTGATCTCATGTATTGTTCCATACTTCCTGATTTCTTACATTTTCTTAAGGAAAAAAAAAACATTAACCCGAAGGTTGACTTGGCATCTAGGGAAAAGAAATGAGCAGTCACATCCAGACCACAGTGAGTATAATCTAATCTTCAATACATTTTAAATGCAGCAGTAACAATAATATACCTGTAGATGGCTCCACACTATTTTCCTTGGCTAACCTTCTTTAGATACAGAAAACATGCTTTAAGAACTGCAGCGGCCTTTTTCCAACCCTCCGAGTACAGTAATATGTGAGGAGTCAGAGAAGTGTGGAAGTCAAATGTATTTGTAACTCTTATAATGGTTGCTATTATTCAGGATAATTTCATCCATTCATAGACCACTGGAATGGAATACTGTTTGGAATGTTACTTGGTAATTATTTTATGTAACACTGCACTGTGGAAAGGCTGGAAGCTCAGGGCTATATCCTGTTCCTGTGTTGTGATGAGCAAGAGAACAATTCTAGGCATTGTTCCGTGAAGAACATCAAAAATAAAAGAGCTTCATCCTGTCTGAAGGCTCATATTATATTTTCGATACAGTAGGGCACATGTGGTTTGACAAAAGCCCGTTTTACTTTCCAAAAGGACCCGCTTTAGCACCAAAGTGCCTTTAAGCACCTAATTTGAATCTGACAAGGCCACTATAATCCCGTATTTACTTCATAATATTATAATTTAATAATAAATGGACGAATATTTAATATATGGGTGAAAATGGATTCTCTGTTAAACAAAACTCACAACCGAACTGGCCTCATCCTCCTGACTGGCTAGGCTGTCAGTTACCATAAGTCTTTGCATCAGACCTGTAGGAATGATGGGCTTGAAAGATCGGTTGCGGGTGTAAGCGAAGGGAAATGAGGATGACAATCGTCCCGAGGAGCCAAACGAGAGCAGCCGGTGCTGAAGGTATGGACGGTGATCAATTTTAGCAGCTTGTGACGTGTCTCTTTGCTCCAGCACACGCTTCAGATCCTGCACCTGACTTAGAAGTTCCATAAGCTTGGTCGTCATGGCCACGGAGCCTCCGCCCAGGATGTACACCTCAGGTATCCAGCGCAGGTAGCGCTGCATCCAGACACGAACAGCCGGTCCATCCAGACAGGGGAGCAGGAGGCCGTGATAGTCCACAGGACGGTGCTGCCAGGACTCGTAGAACTCTCGGGTGGTGGCACCGGGGGAGTCAGGAGAGCCCATCCAGCGACTGAGACGCTTCACTCGTAGCATCTTTTTAAGGCTGTCAGTCTCGTCCTTAAAGAAACCTTTCTTCAGTGGGGTTTTGAAAGCTGTACTGGGTAAGGATAACTGTCTTTGGTGCTAGAGATTTTAAATAAAAACAATGTAAATATTACATATTAATGCACAGAATGAACTCAACTTAGAAATTAATCAATATTAACAGCACAGTCAGACAAACAAACATAAAGCTAAAGTAGGGCAAGATTGGTATGGTGCTCCATCACCTTCCTTTTCCTCTTGACTACAGACGTCACTACATCTCAACAAATTTACCAAATAGCTATGCTCTTATAAAGGTTTTATATGAACACCAAAATTTGTGAGATTTATTATATCTGAACAGTAAAGCATTTAGATTTGTATGGTAACAAATACAGGTTTTTTAAATATTTTGTAGCAAGAGGTTAATATGGAAGTCCGTTTCCGCCACGGAAAAAAAAAAAAAAAAAAAGGTGTTTTCATTTCTGATTCTTCCTCATTTTTTCCTCTCACAATTACGAGTTTACATCTCGCAATTCTGACTTTTTTTCTCAGAATTACATGATATGAACTCGCAATTGCGAGTTATAAAGTCAGAATAGTGGGATATAAACTCGCAATAGCGAGTAATAGCGAGACAAACTCGCAATTCTGACTTTTTTCTCAGAATTGCATGATATAAACTTGCAATTGTGAGCTATAAAGTCATAATAGTGGGATATTAACTCTCAATTACAAGAAAAAAAGTCAGAATTGAGAGAAAAAGTCGCAATTATTTTTTATGTTTCTTTTTTATTCAGTGGCGGAAACGGGCTTCCATAGGTTACAGAAGAATTTGACTTTTTTTTTTAAAATTCAGAATGAAAAAGAAATTGCAAAAACATTTATCCCAATTGTAACATATTCAAGTTATCAAACAATAAAAAAAATAAACATTATGGTTGATTTTGTCCATCAGTAATGATTGCATCATAGAAAACGGCACTGCAAAATAAATGGGTTCACATGATCAAAAACATCTTGCTAATAATGACTTTTTTCAACATTTAAAAATATGAAAATTGTTTATAATTACATATATTTTTTTTATTTTACATTGCAGGTCTGCAAATAATTCAGATTGCATATTGTAAATTCAGCTATGTGTCTCTGACTGGGATTCTGTAATTGATTTATTGGTCATTATTCAGGTAATTGTAAACATGCATTTATGCATTCATTGATTTGATGACACCTTATTGAAACATCAATCATTGTGTTTCACATGATATCAGATATATCTGCATTTTAAATATTATGCTACAAAACCTAAATGTGCAAATTTATTTCCATTAATAATATACTGCATGATGCATACATGCTAAACTAATTTCTAAATATGATACAATTTATCAGTAAATGAACACAGATCTTAAGGAAGGCATTCTTCAACATCTTTCCCTAAATTATTAAATATAGGGGCATTTCACTCTCTCACCTTAGGCTTGTGAGGTTTGCGTACAGCTTTCTCATGTTTCACCTTTTCTGAATACAGGGGGTTATAGAAGAAATTCTGGGCCTTGCTGTCAAACTGCACAGACCAGTCCCACACTGTAGGGCAGCTCAATGGGCCGCTTTGTGCAAGTGGTGACTCTGCCTGCCAAGACAATCAAGCACAAGCAGTTAGCAGGAGTGCCGACTGTGTCAGGGAGGCAACAGCCACCATCTTTGGAGAACATGTAGACTAATAACAGCATTACAGAGGGCTGATTGTTTTCTTGTTAGCCACTGTACTTCTATAAAGGCCTCTAATACTGTTCAACATGCAGAATGGTGAATGCAGTACTCAAAAAGCAATCTTCAAAACAGTGTAGCAAACTAGTTCTAAGGTGCAATCACAATGACACCAACCTCAACAAGAGAGTTTTAAATGAATATATAAGTTCTACCTTCATAACACTTTCTCTGTGATGGGCAGAGTTAAACAGAAATGTGCTAAAGATTGGCACGTGAACACTGTCGGACAGCACAGTTAGGTAAGTCTCGGAGAACTGGAAAGCTGGGCTGTGCTGCTGAACAAGCTGCCACACACACTCCAGGAACAGGAGGAAGACTGGAGAATGACACTACATTGAGAAACAAGAATCAAATTCAAAAGAAAATGAGGATGAGAATGGCTCGTATGTCGGACATCGTTAAATAAAACGATGACATAAAAGATGATCAGTAACATGCTGAAGGGGTTTATTTTGCAATAATTCTCTATTTTAACAAACGCAAAGAGGTAAATAAACAGACATTGTTTTTAGGTGAAATTATATTATTATAGGAAAAGAAAGAGGTAGCGTGCAATGAAAAACATGATAGTACTGCAGAAGATTATCTGAACTGAATAGTCAGAGTTCACTAATCTTCAATCAAAATATCTGAATGCCACGACTGACCAATCAGAATCAATTATTCTAGACAAACGTGTTCCAGGACATGATTTTACAACCTGATAAAAGACAGGTTTGCAGGTTGCTTTTTTGGCTGCAGAATAGCCTGTAATTCTCAGAGGTTAAGAATAATGAAAATGGAAAAATATAAAACGGTAACATTTCCACTAAGCCTCTGAAGAAACAGGCAAGAATGAGCATGCAATAATTATGGTGTAGGATAGATTTTATATCAGTCTAGGTCAGTAGCACATATAAACATAGATTAGAGATTACATCCTGTTCCTGAACATGTACCTTGTAATTCAAACAATAGTAACATTTTATCAGACACTTCACAGCCAACAACAGCTGCAAAAAGTACCTTTGAGAGAGTTCAAAGTTCTTGTTTTCAATTCCCACCAGAATTTCACTGCCAGTGAGTCAGGCACTCAAGTTCCTGAAATGGCAGCTAAAGTGAGAGCACTCACAGCACAGTTCATCATGCAAGGTCACAGAGCATGAAGTCTGGCAAAGCTTTTTTTAGTCCAACACCCAATGTTTCAAGGCCAACAAAAATGGACTGTATTGACACTTTTTCTATTTACTCTATTTAAATTTGTTTTGTTTTTTTATTAGCTGAAATGTTTATCCAAACCTGACTATCAAACAAGAAAAAAATATTTATCATACAGGAGCAAACAAAAGTAGTTCAGCAGTGTTTAATTTATTTGATTGAACAAACTCTTCCTGTACACTGTCATTTACCCAAATATGCTGATTTCCAATGCAGTAATTCAACTTAACAGTAATTCAACTCAGTGATTCAAGATATTCAAGATCTACAAAACTGTTTTGGATTCATAGCAGGGCTGTCAATTTAATGTGTTCATTTAACATAAATACTTATAAAACCAACAAGTTAAAACAATTTGCACATTCATTCATGCCCGCAGAATGAGTAATGAGCTTTTCAAACAGGACACATTTAATAAAAAAAATAATAAATAATAAAAATTATTATTAATTAATTACAATTAATAGCATTCTTATCATTAATATAGACAATTGTATGAACATCTAGCTCACACGTTCTCTTCTCTTCAAACCACACTACATGTACAAGAATGCTGCAGTCTACATACAGGAAGTACATGATGCTTTAAAAAAAACAGTGGTTCTTTGGTCGGTTGAATTACAAACTATAGATTGCTTCTTAGGTGACAGTATTGTTGATGTAACATAAGGCCATTTTTATGGAATACAGTGTTCATATGTTGAATATTTTGGTCTACTGTAAGCAGATAAACTCATGACTATTTCCATGCTTCTGTGAATTGGTGGCAAATTCGTAATGTCAGTGGTATGTGTTTGTACGAATTGCTTACAGTCCACTGAGGGTTAGATTTAGGGGTGGACCTTCATGCTTTATTTTATTTTTTTAATCTTACATTTTCGTATGAATCACATTCGTACGAATTAGTAAAATACTAGTTCATTCTCATGAGACTGTCAGAACAGAAGTGTTTGTTGAGTCCTGTTGAGTCCTGTCACCAATCCTTACCGTCTTCTCCTGTGGTGTCTCATCACTAATGAACGTAACACGAAAATTGGTGCAGAACAATGTGCCAAAGACACCATGCTGGGAGAGATCATCTTGAGTGTATATGAGAATGGGGTTGGCGCTACAGAACTCCACTTCACCTAAGGAGCAACAGAATAACAGTCAAGTTAGTTTGAATAAACACAATGGCAACAACACAGACTGTTGTTCCAGGTTACACCGTGTCTACACCAGACATGACAAAACGACCACTGCAAGTCATTTTAACTTTGTGTCAGTACATCATAAACAGAACAAGGCATCGGTTTACTTTCGGGGATTTGTTGTGCTGTGTCATTTGGCGCATCTAGTGTAGACAGCATCACTGATTACATTGGGTTTTTTGTATTTTGTTGCATTGTGCCGCGCCACTCGCGTCTGGTGTAGACATGGTGTTAGTTTTGTTTTGTGCAGAGCTTTAAAGAAATGCAGTCTGTGTTTTAGTATATTACCCACTTTTCTGTATCTGCAAAACCACTCTGATTACATTAGAAGAGATCTCTGGAAGCTACCCTCTGAATTAGAGAAAAATTATTATAGTCTGAATTGAAAATTACACCGAGGGGACCAGTCACACAAAACATATTTTAGATTTACTTACAATAATACAAAGAAAATCCTGAGAGAGCAAAACATTGTGTAAGGGATTTCCTATTTACCTGGTAGCAAATCAGGATGTTTCTCTTTCTTTGGTGGGTCTTTCTCTGATTTTATTTCCTTAAGAAGACAGAAGCAATAAAATTATAGTATAAACTGTAAATGTGATTGATTATCTAATAAAGTATCTTACTAAATTACATTTTCATAAGTACTATATAGCATATATAATGTCAAAAACATCATGCCACATTTCACGCAGAGTGGCTGCTGCTGAGTAAGCCAATATTTGAAGTCTAGATGCCTCCACAGGACATCTGCTCTGTAATGAAAACTGCTGCTGTCGTACATATGAGAATATAAGTAGGTATGAGAAATCATTTACTACATTAAAGGGGTCATTCATGACATGGTGGCCGCGGCAACAACAATACTACAGCGAGAATAAAAGTTACGCCTTCTTTCTTTGCGGCAACATTTGGGCAGAGTTATGCAAATATTCCCACATCGTGACGTAGCAGAAATCATTTACTACATTAAAGGGGTCATATGATGCTGCTAAAAAGAACATTATTTTGTGTATGTGGTGTAATGAAATACTGTACATTATTGCTTCTCCTCTATGTCCCGCCTTTCTGAAACGCATTGATTTTTACAAAGCTCATCGGTCTGAAAAAGCGAGGTGTGCTCTGATTGGCCAGCTATCCAGTACGTTGTGATTGGCCGAATACCTCAAGCGTGTGACGGAAATGTTACG